AACGCTTACATACTGCCGAGGAAGTCTGAAGATTAAAATCGAACTCAGGGCCCGCCGTTCCTATTTATTCTAGGGGTAACCGAGCTATCTATCCACTACAGTAAGTTAACGTAGCAAAGATGTAAATCGATTAATCTTAAAAAAATAGTTGTTCCGTATTACCTAGACAAAGTAAGATATAAAATCATTAAACACGTCCCAGTGCTAACTCTCCTTCTTCTATTCAGGCCAAATTGGCTTCCAAACACCGTTGTTCAAGGACGTATGTTTTTTGTGACGTCTAAGCTTAAGTAAGTTCGAGATAAAGTTTTACGAACGAGCGTTCAATTTTTGCGAAACCAACAGATACCACTCAGATTTTCAAATGGTTATTACGTCTAGCAATAGCGACAGCAGGAACAGCAACGTTTTGTATCGCTATAGCTAGTGCGACACATCGGTAGAGCGTTCCCAATAATAAGTGGGATCGGCAAAGCGAACTAAGTTGATGCCATAAGTAGTTACCCTGGTCTGGCTACTATACTATACCTATGCTGCCTTCATTCGCCTTTGTTCATTCGTGAGATACGCCATCGCTTTCCGGCCACCTCTGCTTGCGATCCACCAAACGTCGAAGACAAACAGAAAAAACCGAAGCATTGCTAGATCCTGTGAAGGTACGAGTAAGTTCAAATAGAAGAGTGCCTAAGCGGTGTCTAAATGAAAATTAGAAATATTCTTGTAACGGCGCTTATGTTACAGTAATCCTCTATCAGGTCACCATGATAGGTATGCGGGGTTCTGACGGGTTTCTCGTTACGATTCCCACCATGTTATGACTTTTCCTATTCCAATATCTGAACCCCGTGGCTGCTGGTACTCGAGCAACCACATAGTTCGTTTTCATCTATGCCTGCTCTGTGGTCATAAGTTGGTAACGTGACTCGTAGAGCTGCGAGAAAGGTCGCAGAAAGAGAAGGCCAATCTGGTCACCTCAGCTCCTTTCGTCACGTGCGAAACAAATTGTAGCTCAAGGCAGTGGGGGACAGTCTGACAGCACTCTGTCCATATAGGTCTTTCCTGAACGCCTGTTCGACGCGATGCGGGGCTGCAGTACGTGCGCAGAAGGCTGACAGTCATATAATAAGCTAGGAATCAAAGAATAACTAAGAGAAAAATGGTACGAATAAGGACGGATTGATAGATCATTGTTCAGCAGAGTGTTTAGCGCTATGTTCACGAGCTATGTTTGTTAAGTGGGACTGGGTTCAATTTAATGGAATATGACGAATGTTTTTCATCTTTCCTTATCTACTCCCATCCAGAATACTTAGTATGCATATATATATTGTGGACCCTTCACCATCAATTACCTAATAGCCTTCTCGTATGCTTTTGCACGACTCAATGACATCTTGCGCCAAAAAGATCACCTTGTACTTTTTCCTTCATGCTTACACTTGGCGTTCTACCGTGAATTTTGACATTCTCGTTTTTACTTCGAAAGCACTTACGAACACCGACGGCAAAGCGGTGCTGCCGCTCCCGCTTTACCTCCAGGGACTCGAGGCAGCTTTGCTCCTCGATTACAATTGTGTGAAATAATTCCCTCCATCTAGCCTTGCTTTGCCCTCACTACATACTATCGTACTAGAGCATGGCCACATGCACGGAGTGGTATTTAATTACTAAAACATGGGTGGATACATACAGCGGATTTAAGTTACATACCTTGGCCACACCATATCGCCTACCGCTCTTTACTGCTTAGACGACACCAACGTTAGCGTTTTGTGTTCGAATTATATTGCTCCAATTATTCCAATCACTAGCAATTTGTAATGCACTTAAAAACAATTTATTATTTACCTCATACATTATTATCGATGATAATACCGAGTCCCTTATAGACTGGTCTAAGTTTGCGTTTATCTGTGTTCGTAAATACTCAAACGTAACGTGCACCAACCGATTTGAACTTATCGACGAGACACATCTTCATCTCCTTTATTCGACAGTTTTCTGTAAGTATTTTTTTTTTTAGATATGTATATTTGTGTTGCATTTTGCACTACAAATATACATATCGAAGTATTAAACCAATTGAGTAACAATCTGTAGGCTGAGCGTGACCAATCAAGTCAAACAAAAATAGAGTAAGGGTCAAGTACCTTCCTAGAAACTGTTTGCAAACCTAAATCTGTTTTGCGTAATTTTAAATCACAACTTTATGAAGTTCGTTCCATTGAATTATTTTATTAAGGTCGTGGTTTGCTTTCGGCGTTATTTTATAGACGCTTTCCTTTGTGTAGTTGTCACAAATAGTCCTATATAAAAAAAAATTCAAACCACAGGGTCGGGGCGACGATTCGATGTCATTGCCTAATCCGTTACCACAAGAAAGCTACTCACTCAAACAGCCACAGACTTTCGTTAAAAGTGGTGTATTATCACTCGTTGATTAGCGTGGCATGCACAGTTTTGTCTCCGATGATTGTGGAGACAGGGGCCCTGCATTTTGAAATATGTCACCATAAAAATATATTGAAATTTCTTTTTTCACAAAACAAAACAGAGATTGAATTGTCAAATATCAGTTCAGCTAAAAGTAGCTTGCGGAGACTAGCTCTGTCCGCGTAGGGATGGACAGGCAAAATATGATACGAGGTGATGAGTACGATAGCACTCCAGGATAGCTCAAGCGACCACATTGGATATGGTCGTTTACCGGAGGAGGACGGTAAAATCGTTCTTTGCTGCCGCTTGTCTGAAATGTTTTGACTGGCGAGACGCAGTCCAGAAGTAAATTTATTGCAGACTCATCGCCGTTCCATTAAGAGCAGAAGTTTGGTAAAGGATCTCCCACTATAAATAAATGCGAGCTAAAGAGCCAATGATGAGTTAGCAAAACGTCGTACTATCCATAAGCTGAAGCACAGGAAATAACCGTGAAATATAGCAATATTACAGGCTTCCATGTGCCCACTGGCGTGCTTTTGACAGTGAAATTATCTAAGCAATGATAGAATTATAGTCACAGCCATCTTTTTTTCCACAGATACAGCGACACATCTACATGTATATATGAGCTATTGACAAGTAATCAAAGGCCAATCAAAAGATGCTACCTCGTCTATGACAGTATTTTCAGCAACAATGCTTTAGAAATCGAGCTTAGTTTTTAAGGTGGTAGCTGAAATGTCCAGATGACCTGTGTAGGCCTATATACACTTTACCGCTAGAAGATGAAATTTATTTCTACAGTAGCTACAAACCTGCTGCAGGACGTGCGGATCTTCAAAAGTGGGGCAGTAAGGTAACTTAAAATCCACTAAAGATACAAGCTTGAATGATACAGAAGAAATGAACTTGCGCAAAAAAGATGACGACTTCAACCGAAATAGTCGCGTCGTAAAAGTCCTGACAAAAAGGCAAGGATGTTCCCTATAAAAAAGGAAAAACTAGCATTACAAATCGGAGCGACGGTTGTTCACGAAGAGAACGAAGTCCAACTGTGTAAAGGAAAACTTTTCGTACACTTGACTCTGTCCAAACGCCGACAGCATTAGCAAACATTAGCTACGACAAACTTTACTTGTGTAGGATAATGATTCCACATGTTTTCAAAAGAATTGAATAATGTATCTTGGCAAAACTCGAAATGGATCCAACGTTTTAAATAGCTTATGCGCTAAAAACACGACCTAGTATACAGAATGAACCCTTGATACCGATAAACAAAAAAGTTCTATTTGTTTATATCTTGTATATTTATTTGCAGATTATAAAGACCATTTCCCTTGAGGGTAACCGTATTGACTAAAATTCAAAGCAGTCAAAAAGAATTCTATAGACTGCGCTTTTCATTTGTTCTCAAAAGACACTAAAAGCCTTGCCAGAAGATACGATTGCTGTGAACATACAACGTGCCTTTCTGGGCTGTTGATTGGACGCCAGCCCCGTCTTTAGAAACGTTTACAACAATGTTCGCATGTACTGAATAAATTGGTCCTATTCGTTAAATCAGACAACAACTATAGTTTTGGCCCGACTAATTCGGAGTCATGTATCATCGTTATATTGTTGCAATCGATTTCAATTTGCATCCTTCATTTGTAGTAAAAAATAAAATAGAAATGTACCTTTGTCTCAAAACAGGGTATATAGTGGCCTAAGCCATCCAAATCCGAAGATGCTAGTTTTAGAATTTGTCACTACACCGTTTATTGGACAGTTGTGTCGCATACTCAGCTGAAGACCATTCACAAACGTATCTAGTTTAACAGTTATCCATAAGACAAACGCACACAAAATGTTATGACGTCAAAACTACAGTACAAAAATTCACAACTCTTTCTCTGTTCCTCTCATGATATCATGATGAGTTAAAACAGATAACAAAACGCTACGAATAATGATCCAAGCAGATGGCGCGGAAGCAAGCGTGCGTCGCACCAGCAGACGCTTGCAACGGCCGACGCTTTGTTGCAAGCCAGCTCATCATTGTAAGTACTAAACTACACAATTGTTTCACTAAATACGTCACATGTCAAAGGACGTACACATGAGCTTCACATGTGCCGGTAGAACTCTACGGAGCAATATGTAGAATTAGAACGAAACCGTTTGATTGCACCACTGCATGAGCACTAAATCTGCCAGTTATCGACAACAAACAAAAATACTGTGCTATTTAGAGCAGACTACAAATATTGCGAAGAAATGTAGCGGCTTGCTTTAGCCTATGCGAAATAATTTCGAGCTTTAACAGATACAATATAAAAGCTCGATTGTTAATTTGTTCATTCTAGACGAAATCCACTGAGGGAGATGTTTTCACGTTCGCATTACTCAGTTTTCTGTGTACGAGACAAACTACTACGGGGCTGCGTAAGAAGTTTCTAGCCACTACGTGACAACGACAACCGTACGGTACTAACTTTTCTACTTTTGTGACTATATAACTAACTAGAAACGTAGTAATAATGGAACTACATCATAATACACAGCTACGTACTCACTGTGTCTGGGTCTGGGTGTGCGCACGTGTGTATCTCGACTTTAGATTAATCAGGGCCGGACGGGAAGGAAAACGTATAATACTTATATCGCTATAGCATTATAGTCTTCCTCGTAATATATAGGCGGCGCTTCGTACAGTTAGGGTCGGGTTTTTTTTCTCTCTCTCTCTCTGCGCTCAACTCCCCTTTCTCTTGTGCAGCTGCAAATAATTTAGCACTGTTGCAGAGACGAAAGAAATCAAAGAGGAAACATTTACGTAGCAGAACTTTTCTCGACAGAAACTACCAGCGGACCTCGACAGGTCCGGTCCTCACAAAATACCTAAAGACACTTTCCACTCGGGTGATCGCATATAAATAAAACGTTAAATTCAATAACTCACAGTAATCGACGACTGTACCTAACTAGCTTAAGGGGAAGCATTACGCAACGGATATGCGAATTAAAGATCTCGTTCACAAAAGGTATATTGCAGGGACCATTGGCAAAAATTGCCGTTGAAGGTTAGATTTCGCTCGAGAGAAATCGAATCTCTCAAGATCCCGTAGCTGGATCATTGGCGACCAGAGTCACTGCACAGTCGTAACGAAATGAAGGAAAAATATTTCGATTCTAGCCTGCTTTAGCGTTCCGTTCAGCACCCGTTATATTTATATGCATTCGAAATTAACGTACAAGCATACGTTAATAATAGTACAAATCCTCGCCATTTTTATCCGCCGTACATCCTCAGCAACGACAATAGCAGCGACAGCCAGTCCTACAAGTGATGTTTGTATGATGAGACGCTTTAGTTATCCACGCAATCTAGGCGGCATCAAAAAGAAGACCTACAATGTCAGCGCTACCCGGTATCGTAATTCCAATAGTTACAACATAGAAGCTTGGCAAGATCTGTATCGACGAGAGAACTATTATACGAACGTTAGCAGAAGACATTGCGAAGCAAACTTTCATGCTTACTATTATCGTTTCAACAAAAGAAAAACGAATGATTTTTATCATGCAATTGCATTTATTGGTTCTGAAGGGTATCCAATGCATGAAAAAAAGACACTTGCGAAATTCGTTCCGAAATCACGAAACGTATCTATTGGCTGTTTCGTAATAGATTCCCGGTTCCTCGTAAGGAGAAGAATCTTTATGCCGCGCAGAACAACAGTCCTTCTCGAATCAATTATCGCTACGGATGTGTAACTTAAAAACTTAGACATCACAAATGGCTATAGTTCTATTACGCAAGGTATTTCGCGATAAGAAGTTCAGCATATGTATTGCAACTCTACCTATGGGTTTGAATTTTTTTTTTATAACACTCCGCGCCGGAAAGAGCTTGCTCGTGCTGCATTTAACTGGAAAAAGAAACGCTGAACAATCTATAGAGTATAGCATATATGCTTCCTTGCGCTGTTTTGATACAGAACGGAACGCACAACAATATCTCTGTTTATATTTAAAAAAAATTGTATTTATTCGCGGTTCTGTCGTACCGTCTAGGGAATCAGTGCAATGATAAAGCCGATAGACGCCAACCAAACCCTATGTTTCTATTGTGCTCTCCGATTTAATCCCTTACAATGTAATTGCAGTTCTTACTTCAGAGTTCCCTTCTTCATATCAGCAACGATTTGACGGTCCGCTAAAGTTGATTACAGTCCAAGTAATAAAGTCTAATATAATGACGTGTACTCGCAGGTAAAGAAGGTGAATGAGAGCGTATATAGTATCCGCATGGTACATGTACAAAGGCATACGCCGGACAAGGCATAGCTATGTTCTACGCAAGGATGTGACAAAGGGTGCAAGTAACAGAGAGCTGTAGTAAATCGGACGGGTTCTACAAGCGACTTTGATAAAAATATCAGCAGCGGAGTCGTTATTACGCCTTTGATTCTCTCTACCTCTATTTAATCTTCCTTAATTTTATAGTGGTTCGACTGTGAACCCTTCCTATTTAATATTCAGAACACCGCGAAATCCTGTTGACATACATTTATAACTGAGTCCCAGAGTCGCCTACTCCAGAACAAAGTCTGTTCTACGTTGACGAATCGTGCAGGCTGAAATGAGCAAACAACTAAAAAAAAAACCAACGGACAGATTTCTTTGATCAAGTGCGTCTTTTTGCTCACGGGAATGCGTTTTTTTCCTTATCGCCTGCCATGGCTCTGATTGAAGCGTCGCTCGCGTTGTTTGGACTTTTCTAAAAAATCTAGCCAGCGAAGATCGCGTCACCTATTCAAAAGTTAGGAGCTAGGTAAATCGTTTTAAATCCTCCTTCTAATTGTGTATAGTCCATATTAAAAGAAGGCATGCTATACTTGAGTATATGGTACGCAATTCTATCGTGGTATATAATGCGAGAATTTGCGATTTTGTCTAAGCAGGATGCTAAGAACGACAAAGATATACCCTGGAGCACACGTTTCAGGGTTTCAAGCTATTGAACTAAGCTATCTGATTCGAAAAGTTCCTTATTCGTTGCAATACTTAGTGTAAAATCAATCAATCCGTAGGGCAGTTCTATTCCATTGTTACGGCCCATCTACGGTGCATCTATGTTTGATAATTTATTAAAACTATTCTTACACGCTGTATCGCTCATTCCTTGATTGAGCACCGGGTGATAACACTTGTCTATCAATTTATAGCAAACGAAACACGCTCATAGCAAAACGTCACCATCGTAAGGCGAATTGAATTTTTTATAAAATCATAGCGAAGTTTTACGCATCAGCGTCATTAAATGTACGCAACGTTTTCTACCTACCCGCAATTTGACATAACGCAGTAACACAGGTGCTTTTGTCAAGCAGTTGCTCTAGAGAGCATTTTGTGTGAAGTAGCATTTTTACAGCCTCGGACGATTGCGGAGGCCATATATAAACTCTATAGATTACCATATCCTTTTGTATTCTTGCCAAGATGCGTCAAAAACATAATATAAGTGTAAGGGGCAAAGGCAAACGACAACAGCCCTCGGGATGATTCTAGTTTTTTAAGCTGTTATTAATGTCGTTCATCGAAAACAGCCGCTATACTGAACGAGCAAAAGCAAAACTTCTCTGATCATAAACTGAATAGTAGAGCGTACAGCATTGGGTATAATAGTTAATGCTAGGTGGCATATATGTACTTTTCCTGGTCAGAGGATGACATACATTAAGCCACAATCGGCTGAGCGCAGCTATATCGATAAAAAGTAGCGCAGTGTCAGTAGCACAATGCTAGGACAACGCTAGTTCCTTAAATAGGCTACAGAACCAAATTGAAAGCATTGATCGAATGTGTTTATTGTCATTGTGTCAAAGCATGTGTATTTAAAGCAGTGAAAGTGTGGGGTGAGCCAAGATAACGTTATGGCAGAGCTCTATGATGTATTTTCCTTGAATCTAATAGTAAAAATTTTTGGCAGGGCCAGATTGATGGCCGCTCTTTGCTTATAACTAATTGTATCACTATGTGTTCGTGTATGTGTGTGTGTACGGCGCAAGGTATATAGATTCAAAGGACTTTGCATAGCGTGCATGGTATATCAAAAGGCACGCGAGAAACCCATTGGCCTTGATGCCAAAGCAACGACACTGACATAGACACACTACCATTAGATCACTGCGTAATGGCAATAGCATCAGCGGTTGACAACGCCGATATCACCATACTTATACAAACTACCCTCTTTATAATCGTCATTGCAGTTCTACCAGATCTAAAAGGATTTGTTTAACGTAATCGTAGATGCAGGAGGGAGGAAAGTTCTGCTGGATTTTCAGGAAAAAACTTCTTCAAATTAACTTCCCACACAACATCTTTTCGGAATAATAGAGAGCAAACATAGAAACATTAGACCATTATTGAACTGGTGGAAGCTCACATAATTTATGTGTGGGTATGCTATGCGTTGCTTTTAGTTCTACATGTCGATTTTAAATCTAAAAAGAAAACGGCGTTAGCACGTTCTCATTACGCCATTCTGCATTAAAGCTACTAGTGAAGACCAAACAGCGAAGGGCAAATTGGCACAGAAAAATGTAGGCAAAAAAGATGGTGCCACTTCAATAATAAGACGATATCATAATATTATAAGGTCAGTGTTCGTTCGTTCAGATATCTACATGGTTTGCGAACGACGTCTACGCTGGATATAATAATAAGCCATAAATACATAAACGAGTCGTGGTCGTATATGACAAACTATTTGTTATAGCAAACGACTTTGTTCGCTTGCCGGCTGTGGCCGCTATATCGATCATTGCTAACGAAAGGACACCCACGCGGCACCGATGATTGATCAATGGCGAGTCACTTCGTTCGTTACTTGCACCGTTCCGCTGAGATACAATATGTGAAACACAAGCTCTGCAAACAGGCACACACGCATTAATGCGGCAGACACGAGACCGCTCCGCCAACCGTCAAACAAAACAAAGAATAGGAAGCGGAAGAAAGACAACGAGGAATGACGCCCAGTATCACAAGCATTGTTCATAATGGATGATACATTTAACACTAAGAAAGCGACATAAAAGTGAACGGCCATTTCTACATTTATTTTTTGACAACGGCAGTAACTGACATTGGACGGTTCCAGACACCCACTCTTCTATGTACCTACTGTATTATTGCTCACTATAATTATTCTAGTCGTATTTGATCTAATTGAGGCACGTTCACATGGCACTGTTCATTACTAAAAACACCGCGGCGTCCCGTCGTTTCGCTGTGAATGCTTTTTAGTTGTCCCCAGTTCGCCACAAAGTTCGTCATAGCTAAATGGGCACCATCGGCGTACTGTCACCCGCTGCTTACCCCCATCGAATTATCGGCGTTGCCTCTGATCCCCTTCTTTACTTTCTACTGTAGACGAGCCACCGATATACGAATGCGTGAATGTAGGTTTATAAGGAGATAAATGGGTACCGCGGGAGCATCAAACATATAATTGTAGACATGGCTGCTGGTACTATTGTCATTTGTTTGAGAAAGGGGAGACGCGGGGCAGACGATCGTGCCGTCATTATGCGCCACCACTAGCACCGCTGCTTCGGCCATGAAGATGGAAATGACGTTCTATCGTCGTAGACGCTTATTCTTCTTCGTCTCCAGCCTTCCGTTTGCTTTTAGTCGGTCGCCTGGTCGGTCTGCTCGTCAGTGTTTGCGTCCCTATAGGCGAGGGAGTGCAACTGGTGTTTCGGTCTCCTTCCTTCGAACAATGTCTGCGTTTGTTGGTTCGTCTACCGTCCGACTACACTTGTGCGTTTTATATATGTGTGTGTAGAGCATGCGTAAATCCGGATGTGTGCTTATTCACCACCACGTACCTTTCCTTGTTTCCGTCTTACCTTGGCTCTGTGGGACGAAGGTCGTTATCCTGATGGAGCTGATGATACTAATAGTCGCTGCAAGAGAAACACAACGCGGCGGTTGTGCCGTACTGTCAACAGGCTGATTCTGCCATCCACAGTTGTTAACAACGATTGCTGAGCACGCATTCGGTAAGGAATGTGTCTCCTTACTTAATTTTCAGACAGGTTATAATGTTCTACATAGATAACATAGTTGTTATCATTGCACTGCCTCATCATAAATACACACTCCGTTTGGTTTGGTGTTACCCGTGATAATTTTTCCTGCTTTCACGCTTATTCTCTATGAGCCTTGTACAATGCTTACATTTGCGCCGTTTGTATGTCCTACGACTTTTACCTTTTGACGATAACAATAGTCGCAAACACTCAAACACAAGCATTACAATAATGAGGAAGAGACGCCATGCACGTGGCCTTCATCGTGGCCGTTGCTCCTGAAGTGGTCGTTGTGGGTGGCGTTTCAAGGGATTGATCACAATTCTTGCTTTATCGACTGCAAATAATAGAAGTACTTTCAGGCGAAGCGATAGCTGGCAGGTCACTCGCGCATTGCTTTCGCTATTGTTATGCTGAGGGCAATACCGCACCGTGCCGGAACGGCTGCCGCTACTGCTTTCAGCGAGGATCAACAACGCTACCTAGCCGCGTTTCTGTCGTTGCCGCTGCTACCGTATCGGAACGTACTCTCCGGATGATCCACCACCGTTGGCTAGCAGCGGGAGCCGCAACAGCTCCTTCCTTAACACTACCACAGCTCCGATAATGATGATTGTTGTTATGATTATTCAACTTCGCTTCACCCTGTTGTCACTTAACGATAACATCAGTCGGCAGCGGACGACTGCGGTTTGGCCCGAGGCAACGGCGAAGCCAGCGAATAGACAGGTGAGTAAGGGGCAAGGGGATCACCACCGTTCGTTTCTTCCAGACGCTTTGATTTTCTGTCGTTATTGCTCTTGTTAATGATGTCAAATATGTCCGCCGTCGCTACGATTCGCCCGACAGTGGATCTCTTCTTTTTACTCCTTTCCCTCTCTTTGCTCGTCTTTTTCTGGTGTCGAGATCTTCTTTCGTTCCCATACTTTGTTTCCACCCGCCACCGGCGTCGCTGCCGTCCTGTGACAACTCGCGCTCTCTGGCCCGTTCTGTTATTGCCCGGCCACAATTAACAGCTTATTGGCACCCTGACTTCGGGTCAAATAATCAGGAATGGCAGAAGAAGCATACAATAGTACCAATTGTAGTGCTACGGATTACTGCTGCTGCTATTGTTGGTGTCGTTTACTGGATGGCTATCCCAGCTGACTGTTCAGCCTTTACACACCAGCGTCGTTTCCGCCTTCTCGCCAGTTGTCCGCCATCGTTTCCCCTTTGTCTCGTGGATGTTTGATTGCCTCATACCACCTTGCAGCTAGGGGATGAAAAAGCCACTAACTCCACGATGCTATACGACGGCGCTGTGTTGAAAGGAAAATCTCGTCTTCTATTTGATTCTATTCTCGAATCCTCGTCGATGTTATCTTCTTACTACTGTCGTTGTTGTCGTCGTTGCGTGTCTTCGCTTTCGTTTTACTAAAATCTTTGTAATACCGCCCTTAGATTTCCCAAAAATAGTTATTGTACTGTCTATGTCTACGCGACTTTTTCATCTTCCTATAGTTAGTGATGTTGATTTGGCCGTTTTCGTGATATTTCGCGTTGTCGCCGTCGCTATTTTTGTGTATCACCGTGATCAATCTGACGGTAGAGCTTTAGAAAGCGCAATGGTGGCACGTCTGGTAGCAGCAGTCATTGTTGTTGCTGACGTAATAGTTGTAACCCCCAGGATGAATCTATTTCCAGTTGTAGTAGATTTACTTGGCGCAGCTTCGAATTTAAATGAGGAAAAGTGAGAAAGATTTGCAAATCATAAACTTCATTGCTGCTTCTGTTTTGTTCATATGGTTGCTGTGGTCGATCACAGTGGACCTAGCACGTCTCGACGACTGCCTTTGGGAGCCGCTTGCTGCTAGTGGCCATCGCAGTCGCCGTAGTGCGAACTGCGGTAATCGCAGTCGTCAGTACCGGTCGCCGTCGTTGTCGCACCGCCGCTCGACTCTGGCCCTGTCGACAGCAACAGCGGCCAACGAGTCTCAGCCCGTTTATGGTGTTATTCGACGACGGCGGGCCCTCTCCGCCCTCTCTCTGGTCGTCTGTCCGCCCATTCTTTTCTATCCATCTATTGTCGTGGTCGCAGCAATGGCGACAGCGGTAGTACTAGTACTTGAAGCAGTAGTGCCGCGGTATCCCTATGTTGTTGTGTATTGGTACTCGTTCGTCGTCCACTAAAGGCGACAACTCGTCGCCAGTCAACGATAACTGACGACCAACCGCTGACAACTACACAAATACCATAGCATCGCCACCGACGACGACGACGACAGCGGCGGCGGCGGCGGCGGCGGCGACGACGATCGAACCAGTCAGCCAACAAATCAGTCAATAGTTAATGACCAGTTGACCAGCAAGGCATCTAGCCACTGAACCGCTCTTTTCACACACGCCACCATCCGTCGTTCGTTCGCCGTCTCCAATGATGCTGCGGCAGCTACAGAGGCGGCGGCTGCGACGGCGGGTTACAGCAATTGCGGCGCTGGGGGCCGCTATTGCTCTTAGAGCAACGGCGGCAGCGGCGGCGGCGAGAGCATCAGCTGCGCTACGGCCGCGCAGATGGCAGTGGTGGAGGGCGCCAACAGCAGACAGTACCGATGCCGGCGGCGGTGCCGTGGCGGCGAGAATGGAAGCGCACCCGTTGACCAGTCAGTTTTGACGATAGGACCGATTTAGCCTTCTTGTTGTTGCTGCTGCTGCTACTTCTGTATCTTTCTATTGTTCACTTCGCTTCTGCCAAGCCCACATACTCGATAGGCAGATAGTGCCAATGTATTTACTCGCCCATGAAGGCAGAATCGCCCGGTTACTGGGTTCCAGTCGTGGATAACTGCCGGCGTAACCACTGATCTTGCCACCACAGCCGCGGCTGCTGCTGTTATTTTCCATTAGGCTGCCATGGCTACAAGCTGCGGCCTTTACAAGCGCGTACTTCTCTCGCAATAAACAGTCGTCTTCCAGTTGTTGCGACTGTTTTTCGGTATCTGTAAAGGCGCGCAGACGATGGATGCAAAGATCGACAACGGACGCCATACTCGATGGGATCGCTGCACAATTCCTCGTGTGCAGATTCGAACATATTTAACAGTCGAGCAACCCGTTTCTCAACCGTCAGTACTCATTTAGTTGTATTTGGCAGTCGTTACCCACCAGCCCGTGCTGAATATAAGGTGTTAGTCTATTTATTACCATCTGCCATTTATTTTGTATAGGCAACACAAATGAACATACGGTCTGTGCACCTCCCTCCTGTGCATAGTATCATTGCCGCCCTTGCTGCTTCTGCTAGGGCTAGTATCTGATTATACTGACTGGTCAATCCAACCGTGTCGCAAGTATTGGACTAAACTGTAGAAAGTGCTCTGAGCACCCTGCACACACACGAGACTACGGAGCGTCCCTAACATGCATGCAGAGTTTAAATACTTATAACTTTAGTTTTATTTGTAATTAATTAAATCGCGTTACATGAAAATTTACAGTTACCCAGGAGGTGAAATTACATTCATTTATTGTATTATTGGATTTGAATGTAGTCTAATCGCTTTAAACAATTTTCGGCTAAAACTATGTACATTTTTTTACATTTTTATAAGTACCATTCGCAAAATTCGGTATCGTCGTTGGTCGCATGTACCACTGCCGGAGTGTAATTTTTTCATTCATAACTTTTAACATAATAATAATAATAATAATGTGATAGCTCACGAGTTGATTATATAAGATTTTCAAAATATTTTGCTT